TCTATGTGTGTTTTTCAGGATCTCAAGACGGGGATGAAGATTGGTGGAGGACATGAAGCCGGTGGACTGTATTATCTTGATTGTGGTGGAAGAATGTCAACGGCCCTTCAGTCATCTATTTATCCTCTCTAGTGGCATTGTAGATTTGGTCATCCTTCGCTGAAAGTGCTAAAGACCTTGGTCCCTTCATTGAGTCAACTTTTTGTTCTAGATTGTGAGTCGTGTCAATTTGGGAAACACCATCGTGTTCCCTTTAGTTCTAGGGTTGATAACCGTGTGTCAAGTCCTTTTTCTTTAATTCATTCAGATGTTTGGGATCCTTATAAAGTGATGTCATATAATGGATACAGATATTTTGTTATTTTTGTGGATGACTTTTCAAGAATGATGTGGCTCTATTTAATGAAAGAAATAAGTGAATTATTTGATCTTCCTATTGCCTTACGGAAAGGTAAATGCACATGCACCCTTCACCCTATTTCCAATTTTGTTTCCCTTACTCACCTCTCCGCCTCCCATCGCCAGTTCATCTCTTTGTTATCCTCAGTGGTTGTTCCTAAGGATGTCCAGGAAGCCCTTACCTCTCTAGAGTGGTGTCGTGCTATGGAAGAAGAGCTCTCTGCCCTCCATCATAATCACACTTGGGACCTCACCGCTCTTCCTCCTGGGAAGCAGGTTGTCGGTTGTAAGTGGGTGTATACCGTTAAGTACTTGCCAGATGGTCGTGTTGAGTGCCTGAAGGCGCGGCTGGTTGCAAAAGGGTACTCCCAAACCTATGGCACTGACTACACAAAGACATTCTCCCCGGTTGCTAAGATAGGGTCAGTTCGTGTTGTCATCTCCCTTGCAGCTATGTATGATTGGCCTCTACATCAACTAGATATCAAAAATGCCTTTTTGCAAGGTGATTTGCTCGAGGAGGTCTACATGGAGCAACCACTAGGGTTTGTTGCTCAGGGGGAGGATGGTAAGTATCCAAACTTAAGAAGGCTATATATGGACTTAAATAGTCCCCTCGAGCATGGTTTGGTAGGTTCAGTGAGGTGGTCAAGAAGTTTGGTATGAAACAGTGCCAAGTTGATCACT